GCCGGAGCCGCCCCGGAGGCTCTTTCCTCCCCACCCGGTGGCTGGCCCGCGTGTGAAAGGGGCGTGTGGTATTTGCTGCGGTATTGGGGCCACCAGGCCAGTTCGGTGTGGTCCTTCCCTTGCGGGGTGGAGTGCAAAATGCTAACGGAATGAGGCCCCTGGAGACCCCCCCTACACACACACTCGCCCCGCTTTTACACTCTCCACACACCTTCACGTGCACACACAGCACACAAAGGACTTCACACACCTGTATGCCCTCCTGCGCCCCCCACCCCCGTGACCGGACACACTCACCTTCTAGGGAACACTCTCGCTTACACACCTCCATGCACTCCCATGCTCACACACACCTCCATGCACACCCATGCTCACACACACCTCCATGCACCCCCATGCTCACACACACCTCCATGCACACCCATGCTCACACACACCTCCATGCACACCCATGCTCACACACACCTCCATGCACACCCATGCTCACACACACCTCCATGCACACCCATGCTCACACACACCTCCATGCACACCCATGCTCACACACACCTCCATGCACACCCATGCTCACTCCATGCACTCCCACGCTCACACACACATGCTCACACAGAACCTAGAGGCTACTGTACAAGTCGGCGTCTAGTTGGAGGAGTGCAAGGCCGGCTGCAAAGCCTCTGCGGCCTTAGAATTGAGGGGAAGCCCGGGCACCGTGGAGACCCCTCCTGACCCTCCCCAGGCCCTGACTGGGCGCGCCGAGGCCCTGGGTGAGGGTGCGGTGAGGGTGATGGAGGGAGGGGGCGCCTTGCGGGTCGCATGCTCCCTTTGAACAGACCAGCGCGTTGCGAGGGCGCGCTGACGAGTGCGGGCGCAGTCGGGATTTATGGGGACGGACAATATCACCCCTCGGAGGACACTTGAGTAACTGGAGTTTACTCTCCGTAATTACTCGGCTGATTTATCGGCGGCGCGGAGGCAGCCGCAGGGCGGGGGCCTAACAAGCGCTCATTGTGTCGTATGAATTTAGGGGCCACTGGTGAGGCTCTGGATCTCTGCCAGAGTTTATTCATTCAGACCCTGAATGATGCCTGAGGACACTGAAGAAATTTCCTTCTGAATAACTACTCTCCAGCATTCCTGGCAAATGGTCATCTTGTTTCAACTAGGAGATCACCAGTGAGAGGGAGCTTATTTTAAAGGGGCCAGTAGCCTTCAAAGGAGCTATTAGCCCCGAAAGGAATAGCATTGTCGCTTGTGCCAGGAGGGGGCGTGTGCGGGTCCCTGTGGCCGTTTTGTTTGCTGGTTCCACGTTGCGTGGTTGCATGGATGCGGGGCTCCATGGGCTGCTTAGGCCTCGCCGGGTCCCCCGGGGAGGGATGCGCACACCACACATTCATACTCGTTGGGTGCGGGGGTGGTGTTGCCGGTCTCGGGGCCTCCTAGTCATTGAACATTGTGCCCAGGGAGGGGCCATCGGGGCTCCCTTCCTGCTATGCCACTCTCCCTTTTGGGGGTTACCGTGATCCCAGAACATATTGATCAAAAGGAATAATCCCCTGACCACTCCCGAAGGCCCATTTCCTGACCCACGTGCCCCCAGTTGCATTTATAACCTTCCACTGGGCCAGACTGGAGTTCTCTCTGGAGAGGGACCCGGCAGGATCCGAGAGTCACCCACACGCAGCTTCCATTACTCTCTGAAGCTCAGTAAGTCGCTGAGGTCTGACGTGACCTCTGTGTCAGAGTCTGAAATGTAAACACTGGTCTCCCCCTTCCTGGCTGGGTAGAATTTGCTCACTGTCACCATTTTTCCCGCTTCGTGTTTCCTCCATTTCTTCATCCTTGATCTTCTACCTTTCCACCCCACATCTCCCCTCTACTGGGTCAAACTGCTTCTCTTTCACGTGCAGTGCTGGCCCAGCAATGTTCAAGCCATTTATCCTTCATGATCTGGAAGGTGCAGCTTGTCCAGAAACATGAGAATTCTAAAAAACGACGTTGCACATTTGCATACAGTGAATAAAACTCACCTAAAGTTCCATATTGAAGAAAGGCTGATTATAATTTTTTTAAAAAAGAATGCTATATTATTATCTCCAACTTAAAGTAGAATACAGAACCCAGGGCAAATAACCAATGTTTTGATTTTTTTTAAAAAAATGGATTAATTTTTTTTGTTGCAGCTCATCTACAGAGAATTTTTAAAGGTTGGGATTATCATTGTGTTATATTGTTTTCCTCTTATTATGGGGGTCAATGTAGGAGGTGTATTTGAATAGTATCCAATTTTATTCTTAAACATTATTTCCCAGTAGGATTAGTTATATTCCAGGCATCTGAATACTTTCAGCGGTGCTAACATACACTGGTATTGGTGAAATTAGTAACAATAAACACTACACTGAAATATTTGTATTAAGATAATAAAATTCCCCACAATAACTCATACACACTAAACTGTCTTAGTTGTTTTTAAGAAGAAAAAGAAATTGATCAAAACCAAGGAAAGGACATACCTGTGTGTCATCAGAGTAGCTGCTCAAATGTGGAGAAACCCAACTTTACTTTTTAAATATGAGGCAAATATTAGCATGGTAGTATATATGAAGTGATTTGTTCAATTATGGACTCAGATACATCAAGTTCATACATACTAAGGTGAGAAGGAAAATTCATACTATTACCTGCTGTCTTTTTTGCTTTCTAATACCACGGTGTGACGTGGCTGAATTTCTTGTTGTCTTATTGAGCATTTCCACTTCCATGATGAGTGGCCTTGTGTTTAAAAGTATTGTGTTCCTGGGAGGTTAGAGCAGCTTAAAGGGGCGATGGGCCAAAAGCCTGGTAAATAGCCCATTTTTTAAAAAACTATCAGACAATGTAGAAAGCTGTTGGAATATTTCACTTAGGGCAGCAGGGAAACACCGGGCGGAGGTGCGTGTTCCTTATTAATGTTTGTCAAGGCTCTATTCCACTAGGCTCTTAATTGCCCTGCAGGTTGTGAGGAAAGCTGGTAGAAGGGAGAGGCCAGTGGCCATTTCTGTGCCAGGCTTGTAAACATCTAGTGGTCGGGTAGTGTGTTTCACAGGTGCTCTTATTTCTGAAGGGAACAGGATTTTTTATCTCCTTTCCCATAAGTGAAATCTTGGGGAGCACTCTGAAACAAAATGCCATAATAATTTTATTACACCACCCCCAGGCACTTTACATTTAGCGTATGTACTAATTTTTCTTGTATTAAAAGTATCATTTTATCAGCATTTCTCTTGACACGCTGCTTGTATTTCTTGCATGTATAGACCCTGAGGGGAATGAGGACGTGGGTCTTCAGGTCCTGGTTGGGTTTCGGTGTCACATCTTGGACCATGTTCTAGTCATTCTCTCCCTGGCCCTTATGGTGCCACAGGGCGGACATCTAGCATCTCACAAGTCCAGTCCAAGGAGAGCCTCCGGACCAGTGGTCAGCACCCATTCCCTGAAGTATTCCTTCCCTGTGACGTCCTGGAACATAGGTGTTAGACTGGGAGTTGGTCTTCTAGAGAGTGGGAAAACGCATCCTTATTTTTGCTCCAAGATTTCTCTCTTAAGCCTGGGAGATCTATGACAAGCAGTTGTTAACCTTTCGTATGTTTTTTTACAGGGGAAAAGCCTTTCAAATGTGAATTTGATGGCTGTGACAGGAAGTTTGCCAACAGCAGCGATAGAAAGAAACACTCCCATGTCCACACCAGCGACAAGCCCTACTACTGCAAGATTCGAGGCTGTGACAAATCTTACACTCACCCGAGCTCCCTGAGGAAGCACATGAAGATTCATTGCAAGTCTCCACCACCTTCTCCAGGAGCCATTGGCTACTCATCAGTGGGGACTCCCCTGGGTGCCCCCTTGTCCCCTGTGCTGGACCCAACAAGGAGTCGCTCTACCACTCTCTCCCCTCAGGTGACCAACCTCAATGAGTGGTACGTGTGCCAGGCCAGTGGGGCCCCCAGCCACCTCCACACACCTTCCAGCAACGGAACCACTTCTGAGTCTGAAGATGAGGAGGTGTATGGGAACTCTGAAGTTGTGCGGACGATACATTAGAATTTATTAAAAATAATAGCAAATAAAATAGTAAATGGGAGTCCTTGGACCATATCCTAACCTGAGACAATGCTGAGCCTGGGAAAATCTGTGACTCAGACTTGCCACCGGGTCTAATTAGCCCTATTTATTTGGTATGAAACCCTATGGTGTTTGTACATTTAATTAATTTAATTAAGATATTTGGGCTTTTTTCCCCCCCTAGAAAACAAACAAAAAAACCAAGCTGGACTTTACACATTGCAGGGGGACAGGGCTGGGAGCAAATTGTACCAAGAAAAATGAATGGAGAGTAGTTGATCAAGATACACACTGCTAATAAATGGAGAGAAAGAACAATAAGTCAGAACTCAACAGAGCAACAAGGCCCTCTGCATTTCCTAGAGTGCCTTGCAAATGCCTTTGATACCATAACATGGGCTTCTTTGGAGCCTCTTAGGCTCCTCCTTGGGCCCTAATTCTGCAAAGTCCTCTTGATTGTAAACCACACACTTGCTGCATTGCCAACAGATCTTGGGACTCTTAGACTGTACCTGTGTCCAAAAATATTTGTAAAAACCTTTTAAGTTCTATTACTTGTCATTTTCCATTTTCACTTTTTATTACGGATCCCACCTAAACACTGTATTTTTACACAGGATATTCACTACCCTGCTTGTATGATTAAAAAAAAAAATGCAGCAACCTTACTACATTTCCATATATTGTGCTACTGTGATTGTTCAAGCAAAAGTGGAGATAAGAGAAAAAGCTGCTGCAAAAGACAACTGTGAAACTGCTATTTTATAAAATAGAAGAAATTCAAGTGCTTTCTTTTTCCTGATTTTTTTAAAACTCTGAAATCTCCGATGCTGCCTCTTTACTATGTTCAAACTTCTTGTGTAATAAGGAAATTATGTTTTAGATTCTAAGTTCTTTGGGATGCCAGAATTAACAGGCAAGGCTAGGGAGGTGTGAAGTTGGCGGCATGCCTATTTTTTTGAAAGCTGTTGTTTTTAAAATAGGCCAACTCCTCTTTTATACTCTTGTATTAACCTTTTAAAAAGCCTTTATTTTTCGATGCCCGAAAGTGCATTTTAATGCATTTTCTTCCACCTGAGCACTGAGCACACGGAACTCTGTCCCATTTGAAAATGACAGTGTGTGAAGTGTATGATTTACATTAAAAGAGGGGAGGGAGTTGCTATACATATTAAAATTTTTAAAAGGTTTATAGTTACCACCAAACACTGATGAATGTGTGACCTTTGCCAGAGCTGTCAAGCTAGGATAAAAAAGGTCAAGGACCTAGGACAATAACTCTTAGTCAATTTATTTTCGGTTGGGACAACACATCTTGTGTGCAAAATGTAGTCCATCATAAACATCATACAAATACACTAAAGAGCACTAATTTATCCTCGGAGACCCTGAAGACACCCCTCCCCAGGGTTTGTAGAAACTTGTTTCGTGTACTGTGAGTGGTTGTAGTGTTATTGTTAATAACCTGTATGGGAACACTATTTGTACAGCTGAATTAATTTATTTTCAGACATCCTTTTTTCTTTCCTGGAAGAGTTCAAAGCACACCAAAGAATTATATTATACATTTTGGTGAAAGATTGTTGTTTATGATCCATGGTTTATTTAAAAAAAGAAAAAGGAGAGAAAATGGAAACATATATTTTTAAACTTACTTGAATGAACAACGTAATGTGAAACCAGGACTCTTCCTGCATGTCTTTTTTGCATTGTGTTGAGATTATATATAGTTTATAGATATATTATATTACTAGTACAGTGCATGGTGCTGTCACTTTGAAAGCCTTTCAATGTTGTCTTCAAATTGTTATGGTGAATATTAAACATGCAGACCCTCCTTTATAAAGAAAAAGATCATAAAACTTGATATAAAATGAGTCTACATTTTAAAGTTTATTTGATTTTCCTATTTCAAATCTCTTTCAAATAGACAAAAACGGTATGAACTTCGGGGGGATAATTTATGTATTGTAAACTTATTAGAACAAAATATTTCTGATTTGTAATGAGTTGTTTTATTTATACAACTTTTTCAATGGTAGTTTGCACTATTCTTTATTATGCTACAGGTTTATTTATTATGAAACAAAAGAATATGTATTTTATGTATTTTGCCATGCATAGGTTAACCCTGCCACAGATTTATTGGTTCCTGATACACCTAAAATGAAAAACTTAAAATGTGTACCTTCAATAGAAAGCAAGGATGATTATGGAGTAAAAATTTAATAAAGGTATTCTTCCTATGTATTGTTTGTTTTACATAATGCCATTCTCTTCCAAGTAGAACAGGTTGCTGACATAATGAACATTAGGTTCTCTTTCCTTGACCTCTTTATTTCATAGCCTCTCCCCAAGCAATAAAATATTTTTACAGCTTTGTTTAATTTACAATCCAATCTAGAAAATGCAATATATCCATGAAGACTAAACCCTGCAGGTTGCACCTAACACTAGCATAAATCTTAGGGGTTACTGCATTCATTTGTTAAAATTAATATCCTCACTGATCCTGATCAGTAAAAGGTGAATTTTAACTTTTTTTCTTTTTTGGTGCCTAGCCTCTACAGTAAATGTCAAAAGGAATGAGGAAAAGATTGAGGGAGGGGCAGAGGCTTCCAGATACACAGCAAAATCAGGAGCTGAGACGGATCTTGAAAGAAGTTGAGTAGTGGACATCAGGTAATGGGGGCGGGGGAAGCAGAATCCAATTATATGTGGTTTATTTGGAAGTTGAGGGGGTATAAGTTACAGCATGTTGAGGCAGGTATTAAGGAGAAATTACATTTATGTTAACAAAATATCCAAGTGGCTTAAACTAATGCAATTGGTGAGCTACATGAGCAAAGCCTGTTAATGTTAGCTGATACAAAACCAATAAAAGGCAAATAATTAAAAGCAATTGGGAATAATGTCAATAAGCAGTTCTCCAAGAGGTTATAGTGATTTTGAAAAGTCAGGTTTATTAGATGTAGTAAAGGTGAAACAGGTTGCAAAGAGTTGTTTTAAGCCAGATAACAATAACCAGGGCACGAAGGAGAAAAACCCATAAATGAGGGCCCCAATCAATGGGAAAACTTATAGCTCTCTAATGAAGTTTCTTGTGAAAAGAGGGGTGACACAAAGCCACCAAGACATGAATCATTCATGGGAAATATAAAAGATAAAAGATCTGACAATGAGCAGAACCTTGTATAGAGTGTCTAAAACAAGTTTCCCCTTCTTATTTTCTGCTTTAAAACGCACAATCTCCCACTCCCAGCGTTCTCTGTCCAGTCTATAGAGTTAAAATTGACCACTGCTCGTCCTGCGCCACTTCAAAGTAATTTAGTCCAGAACGGAAGGCTTGGCGCTTGGACAATCTTCATGGTGTGTTAAGATTTCTATGGCAATTGGCAAGCAAGACGTTCCCATCTGAATATGTCTCAAAGAAAGCCACTTATTGACACTAAGTTGGCTATCATCAAAGACTTCATCTTTCCTCGGCAAAATGTGGCCCTTGCAAACACTGTTTAAATCATCTACCTTTGTTTTCCAGGCTAGAAGAATCTTCAAACACATACTATTTGTAGTTTATGTATATATTTTCCCCATTCGGGATATTCTTTGGCAAAGTGAATGCTACTACATCAAGAGTACTGAAAAAGAGCTGGAGGTGGGAATTACAATCTTTTAAGGAGTTGGAGATGGCTACACAGGAGGGATAGGAAAAGAGGAGGCTGAAACTTCTTGAAAGCTAGGCCCAACTATGGTAGATGTCAAATATTTGTATCACTTGCAGTCTTGTCATTTATATCCTGCATTTTATGGAAGCTTTTTGAGATAGTGGTTTTATCTCTCTATCTACTTACCTATGACCTACCACCTATTATCTCTTTATAAAATGGTACAAGAGATGTTCACCTAAAGTATTTTTTTTTTAATCCCAGTTTGGCTTAGGGAATACAATTTGGGAAAGAGGGAAGGGGAGCCAGTCTGGCTTCTCCAGTGATCACCTTAAGTCAGAGGAAGGGAAAACTGAACACAAGAGAAATAACACCATCCTGGCACTTATGAATACTCCCAGCCTGTCGCATCACGCGACTGGCTTGCCCATCCACCCCTTCTCTACTAAAACAGACACATGGCCACCCAAACCCACACTTCCAGGGCTGGAGGGCTGGCTAACTAAGGAGGCCCACCGTGAAACCCGCAGCCCTGGGGTTCCAGCACACTTCCCCTCCTGGAACAAAAACTCACAGTAACTTACACACACGCCCACGCACAGACACTCAGGAGTCCACGCATTCACACAGAAGCCAGTGCCTAATCAGGCAGGGAGAAGTTCAAAGGCATGTGCTTTGAAATTCAAACTACTGCTTTTATGGTACATCCACAGAGCGTCAGGATTGCTATGGCAATGGTCAGGGCCAGGGCAGTCGCTGGCAGAGGGTCCACAGCGATTGGAGACACTCTATTAAGATACAGTTGCTGTGACCTTTACTTTCATGCCACGTTAGCTCCGTCAATTTTCACCTCATCAGAAATACATATTTTACATATAATATTACACCCAGAATATAATGTGTGTGACATATAATATATGTGTTTCCTTTACTTTTTTGCTAGGAATCCCCCCCCCTTTCCCCAGGACCCCCTAGCTGGAGAGAAAAGAGAAAGAATGAGCAGACAGAGGAGAGAAAGCCGAGGGAGGGTGGGGGTGGGTGATGTTGGAAAAGGGGAGGAGAGAGCGGGAGCCCCCAGCCCCAGTTCCTCTTCCTTCTCTTCCCACCTAAGTACTTTTATTTGGAAAGCGATTGTTCTTTGTTTATTTAATACAAGTACTGTGTGAATGGCGAAAAATAAACACGATGAAAAATAACCAAACAGATGATTCCTCCGAGTGAAAAAGCCCGGACTTAATAAAAGTGCGAAGCAGTCACCGCTGAATGAGAAACCCTTTGAAGTGGAACTTATTATAGGAGGAATACTTTGGGGTTGCCTTAACGACGCCGCTGAATCGAAAGCGCTCGCCTTTGTCAGCGATTTGTTCTCCTTTGCCGGGGTGCCCGCAGAAATTACTTACATGGGCTGCCTTAACATGCAGCCTGCAAATCAGTAACTTTGCAGCTCAGACTTGCAGACGCCACTCGGCAACGGACAAAAAGAAGTCAGGGGGAAACGCACTAACCTTTCACGCCGAATCTCTGGGGATGGGGGGCGCACGGGCGTGTAGGGCGGCAGATAAGAAGTTGTATTACAACTCTCCCCACCCACCC